CCCATACCCCCCTTCTTGCCCTACGGCTATTATTGTAATTGGATTAATTTAATCTTAACTTTAAAAGTTGATTGCCGTTGCTCCATTTACTCTTTAAATTAATAATTTTACTTACCCATTCCTTCAAAATAAAATGTTTGAGTTAAGAGCATAGAAGTTTTGCATTCCCTTTATGTTTATTAAGATGGTCTCGTTGTGTCAGCGGAGACTAATTAAATATCGAGACAAAGACAATCGGGAACGAGGAGAACGGATTAAAAAAAAGGAAGACGATTTTTACGGCTTCGCTTGAAATCGAGACGGTGCCCGGCGTTGTTCGCTTCATAATTTATTCACATGTAGCGGATCCGGGGGCCCGAGGGGTGGAGAGGCTTCAATAAACGTTCGATCATTGATATCGTGCGTTTGACCGTCGCTCATCGAGTCTGGAAGCCCCGCGTGCTCACGATAATGAAACGAAATCCGGGATTTAACCCAGGGATTAGTCCGGTAGGAGCGTCATCGATATCGAAACCCAACACGGGCACTGCCGCACTCACATCAGTCGAGACCGCGCTCGCTGCCGACGCGTAACTCTCTTTCTCTAATTTTCCTCGTCCCCCGGTTCCGCGTGGAAAATGATTTTTCTAAACATATCGAAGGTCAGGCCGAGCGATTTATGGTCGCTGAAAACTCACCGTCAGCAAGAAACTGAGCCCGATCATGCGGTTTCTTTAAACCCGAAACGCAAACGATCGAGACTGCGACGCAGTAAATTCGTTCGAACGGTTCTTGGTAGCCTACACGTCAGTACATATTTAGAAATGGCTATTACGGAGAATGGTGGTGTTTGTTATTTTTAATGACGAATGCGACTGCCGTGATTCCATTGAATTAATTGAACGTTTAATTGCAGAAGGGCCGGCACACCGTTGATTTTGAGGAACGCATGGTACCGCCGTCTCCACTAATTGCTAAGAGTGCCCAGCAGCAAGAAGCTAAACTGAATTCGGTGATCATCGACCCTGTACAACAATTGCCCCTCGTGCACGACGTTACAAATCGGGTAAGATATTATAATCTCTTGTTGCGGTTTTATTGAATAGTTAACGCCGAGTAAAATCGAGGAGGAGCTTAAGCATACGCGGTTTATTAAATTAAATATTCCCGCATGCGATCTTACCAGCGCATGCCCGAAGACCCTTCCAACAAATCGCCATCTCGTCTGAATCCGCGAAAGCCGGGTGAAAATCAATCGCGTCGAGCTCTTCATTGCGTTTACCGACTGCCATGCACTTTACAGAGCGTTCTGCAATCGATTACTCGTAAGAAACGTTGCCGCGAAAGTTGAAAACGAACCATGGTACGAATTACAATTTCTCATATGCAAGCCTAAATCCAATTGCTAGGAATTCCAGTAGTATAAGTCAATGAACGAGCATACAGTATTCTTTCTAAGCAAACGGTCAGGAAAATGAATATTCCATGAGTTGTATAAATAAAGTGCGATGAGTCTAGTCTGTCGAAATCGAACCGTGGCACAAATTACAATCTCTCATATGCAACCCTAAAGCTAATTCCTAGAAATTCCAGTAGTATAAATCAATAAGTGATCATACTCATTTCTAAGCAAACGGTAAGCAAAGAAATATAATTTTCCATAAGTTTGTAGCAGTAAAACGCGATGAGTCTGTTCTTCATCCACTAAATCGATACTACTACCCCACGAAAGATGGCGCGTTAGGTCCGCTCAGTTTCCGCAGATGTACGTGCGATGGTGCGACGATCGTATGCCTGATAAGAGAGCACACCCACGTTATCATTGATACTACGGTATACCGGGGAACACGTGGACAAAGGCAGTCTGACCGCGACTTTTATTCGTCATCGGCCTCGGCTCGGTTCGCCGGAAGTTGAGCTTCGAGTGAATTATATCTCGATCAGAAGGGGACGGTTTCGGTGTTAATGTTAATGAAACGCGAGGAGAACATCTTTTTGGACAGGCGTAACAAATTTAGACATATTATTGATCCTCCGACACGACTGACTTCCCACAATTAGCGCGTATGCAATGGTTCCTTTTTTCTCGTCAGTGATTTTATTCTTCCGTGTGTTTTTGTATCAACAGTCAATTCAACGGAATTGTATAATTCAATGTTTCAAATCGGGAATTTTTACGCTGATTGTATTTGATCCTATGAAATGATTCATCTGTTGCATTGAGTCACTACGTTTGAATGAATCACGATTGATTCAGGGGCTTATCGCATCGCAGAGATATCGCACGACTTGTTTTGACGGAGCGGGCGATCGAATGGTATTAAACGAGAAAGGTTGAGTGAACCACTCACGCTGGTACTATCTCCAATAAAACGGGGAATTTTAGGAATTACAATTGTACTACTGGAAATCTGTTCGAATAGAAGTATTGGTGTGAACATTTTCATTGATCATACAGTAATACTTTTTGGCTTATCTCCTTCCCACTGACATCATTTCAATCTATATTTGCGGTAAGAAGATTTATCGCGCCGTTTCTACTTCGCCACGGCTTACTTAAGCTCCGAACTGTTTAAATCTCTGCCAGCTGGAGCTGAGAAATTTTATGATCGAAAGAAGGTGAAATAAAGTTTTCCGAAATCACAATCTTTATTTGTTCGAACGCGAACATTATTTCTACAAGTTTTATTTCGGATCATACGTTAGGTCGAACAGGAATTTCTCCGATAAAGTCCATATAATGGATTAAACCTTTGGTTCGGACCGCTGGCTCATCAGCTGTGTGAAAGCGACCAACTTCGAAGATCGAAACGAGATCCTCGGAGCGCCGCGGCTGATGGTATGAATTTTGGAAGATTCGGTGGTGGGATGGCTCGTTGGATGATTCGGGGCCGGGCGAGGATTCGGTTCAATCGAACAGAGGACTCGAGGTATACTCCATTTCTAGAGCGGCTAGACGAGCGCACCCTTTAAGGTGACCCAGATACCGTCTAGTACTATTTTATTTCCCACAGTATCTCGTTCCGCGTGCATTTCTTTTGTGAGTGCGCTAGAACGCTTCTGAGGGGCATTATTTCAGCGAATGACCGTGTTCCGACACCGGGTTCAATCTCTCTTAGTTGTTCAACATTTTTCCGCATTTTCACTTCACTTTTACTCTTCCATTATTCTCGTTCAATCATCCGTATGCATAGGATATGTACATTCCGTGTAAAAACGTAGTGGCAGCTGTGGCCTCGTTTTCTGATCTTGAATATTCTTGGTACAAGAATAATTTATTTCGCTCGTACCTATATAAAACGAAGATACCCGGCAGCGGTAAATTTTCATTAAATTTTGTTGCCTCAATACTTACAGAGCTGTGTGTCGTTGTTAAACGAAAATAAATTGCACAGGTAACGTCTATTTAACGGTATACGTCATCGGCGTACAATTAGGTAAAGTGCGGGCATCATGTAGCCTGGTTCCGTTTATAAAATATTCTAATTGATGATAGTGAGATTCTCACGACACGCGACCGCCCGACACGCACGGATTCGACTTGGGGGCCGTTTAACTGATAAACCGTGTCGCGTACGCGATGACAACTCCGCCCGCGCATCCCTTTAAGTTCTATCGTAAGTAATACGTCGCAGAGCATTGACAATGGTCGTGTTTGCTATTACATAATTCAAAGCTCACTGTCAATATTAACACACATTTTACTCACAGTCCTGGCTTTAATTAAAAAATGTCAATTATTTATTTAATATACCGTGGACCTCGAGCTACTTGCATTATATTAACTGTTTGATCAAGAATGGTGCAGTCCGAGAACTTATTGACTCTACCTTGCCTTTGTACTGTTTTTCATTAAACCCCCCTGGCCGTTTATTTGAAATGAGAGAACAGTCGACTGTCATTTATAAATTTATATTACTCCATTTATTTTATAATTGTCCTGATTACTTTATTGAGAAAAGCCAGAGAATTTATTGAGTCGTACCACTTGCCTTGCTTTGAAGTCACTGCCAGTTACTGCGTGTGTGCAATAAGACAAATGCACGTTATATATAATTATGGCAAACCATGTCTGAACGCAATTACGTTTTAAGATTATATCTCGTTTTACCTGGGAATCCTGGCAGTGTTCCGAGATTTAATTGGCTAGCGTAGCCCGCGACGTTTCACTTTAGTTCGTAATCTAATCACGATTTTCTCGGTTCACGGCATCGAATCGCGTATTGGCTTCGTGAATAAAGTACACAGACATGGCACACAGAAAAGGGTTGCGCGCGCGCGCGCGCGCGTGCCCGTACAGGAGAAGGTTACCTTTTCAAGCCTGGGTTTCGTTTATACGCGCGGTAGATCAACCGAGATTCGACGGGTCTTCGAAATCGTCCTTTATCCATTTACGTGAACGACCGGTTGACGTCTTCGTTCGCGTGGAAATATTCGAGCATTAAATTTCGTTCGTCTTTGATGCAGTCGTTCCGGATATCGAAAATGATTTAAACGGTAAAATCGTGAATAATTCATGCCGACATTTTTGCTATAATTCCTGTGGAGATTATTTCATGTATTGTAGATGCGAAGAATGAAGAAGAAAATCATATCAAGCATTTGTATGAATATTTTTATTCAATACAATTACACAGAATTAAAACGATTGAAAGCATGAATGTTCTTAAAATGTTTGGGAATGGTCAAATGTTGAAGGTATCTCTGGATGCGCAGGGATCAATTGGGAACCGTGTGAAGGTCTCGGGACACGCGTAATTCGTGCAACAAGCGAGTACCAGTCCGATATCGTGATACGAACCGGCAATCGCAGTACTATTTGTGTTTGGTATCCTTACGTGTCACTTTCTGCCGTGACTCGCAAAGAAATATCGTATAGCCTTCTCGCGAAACGAACATTGCTCCCTTCGTTTGAAACGTCACGCGAGGAACTTTCATTTCGCACGACTCCGATCTGTAGATCAGTATAAATATTCGCGCAGCCTTTGTTTCGCGCAACGTCTTATTACCTTGATGGACGCCCACGCGAGTTTTACAAATTCTCAAAGGTAGATTCTTATTTCCAAGTTTTTTCTTAAAACTGTATTTGATTACAACGTGTCGTGAAATGCATTTCATGCTCGAAGTTCTTCGCTTTGATTAACATATAAATAAAAATGTTAAATTAAAATTCTTCGTCACGGGGCAATTATATCAGACACGATGAATAATTTGATTTCAATTAATTTTATTCTCATTGTGAAAGTTATTGAAATCTGAATAAATGCCATTTATTATTTGCCTGACATTGGTCGTTTTTAACTATCGTGAGACGGTGTTTACTGCTAACTGTTGTTACCCGCCGGAAGACACGTGGTTCTGTCTTATCTATCTTATCCCTGTGAAGATGTTTATCCGAGGATTGAAGTTTCCTTTCAGGAAAGTTTCCGTCGGTTATTCTTTGGAGGCTGTATAATGTATCTCGCAGGAGAACCGAGGTTCGAAGAAATGTAAACTTTTATTGCGTCTCTTTTATTGTTGCATGGAATATCTTTGAAACGAACTGCCGTCTGGCAGCTAGCGGCTTCTCCGCTCATTTCCTTGAAAGACCCGCAGCAAAACTTTTTTCCTCCCCTTTTCATTCAAAGGCTTCTTACCGAGAAATTTTTCGCTCATTACACACCTCCTCGTTGTCGCTCCTCCCATGGTGCATTACCATAATGCACGCCGGTGAAACGTTAAAACGTCGCTACCATTCGTTTGATTCCTTTTATTCAGCCCGGGGACATTGAATCGTTTTCCCGATGGCGTGCGTTTGCAGGATTGTTTCGCGCTCGACGTTTTAAAAACAAGGTCGGACGCGGAGTGGGAAATGGAGTAGAGATTGAGATCCTCTCTGTGAACGATTTTACATCCACCCGTGGATATTTACGTATTTATGGAAATCTTTTTAGTTCAGTATTTTTGAAGTGTTCGAGATATAGAAATTGATTTGTGGGTTACGTATCTACGATGGTACATGCAGTCCGGTGCTCGACGATGCGATTGAGGCAGCAGTTTCTCTATACAGGATACTCGATGGCAGAT